ACTCAGTCTTGAAGTTCTGCAGGCGCCCCATCCAATTTCAAGCTCACGAAGTCGCTCAAGATGATGGTATTCCGTCTCTTCTTGTTTTTTTTCTCTTTTTTCCTTGACTGACCGTACGATTTCATGTTTGGTTTTGCTTTCCCAGCGAGCTCATCAGCCCGCTCATTACCCTTGACTCCAGCATGGCCCGGGGTGAAGATCCACGTGATCTTTTTCAGTGTTGTCTTCTTCGGGAGCTCTGTCCATTCAGCTCTAAGGTTCCCACTTTCAATCTTCCTCAGAGTGCTTTGAGAGTCTGTGACAAAGACCACTCCTGACTCTTTCTACTGCTGCTCCTGGTTCCATACTGCTGTGTTCCAGCAGCCACAGCACCAATCTTAAGATAGATCAAGTCAGATCCAAAACTTTACTTTCTCGGATAAGGGCTTTAAATATCATAGTAGGTCCGGTGTACAAGTTGCGTACGTTAAAGATCCCTTGGTGGTCCCCAAATCGAGAAGAGTAAGCTTCGACCGCCTCCCGAACAAAATTAAAAACTCCTATCAAAACTGGAAAAACTCTTGTCAGTATAATAATATAGAGAGAACCTTCAAAATCGAAACGTGGCTGTCTGACTGCTGGGGGCCTTACTGAATGGGAAAATCGGTCACATACGTAAAAATCAGTAGCTCTGCAGGTTGAAGAACTAGCAGTCGACTACACCTGAGATCTAGCAGGGAAACGCAAAGACGGAGAAGATATTAAATTAAAATTCTGCTTGAAAAAAAATAAAAGGACATCCTGTAGCGACTGTGTAAATTAACCTGACTCAAGACGGCGATATTCAAGGAAGTGGTCTTGAAAACAATACCCAGTGCCCATTGGCACGATCGGTTCGGTTTGCTAGCCATATTGAGAGCGCAAATCGGCTATCGTGGCACAAACCGATCGCCCGACTCGTCGCTTCAAAAACAAACGCGTTTGTTTCCAGGCTACGGGTCGGCGATCGGTTGGCGATCGGTTTGTATAGAGAACCGATCCCCCAATGGGCACTCCGTAAAACGCATAAATTTATTTTTGAAGGTCAACATCGAATCCGTTCGGAATGTGCCACGATTATAGCTTTTACCTCTGCATGTAAGAAAATCTGGCTTGCTCAATTCGAAGAGCCGAACCGAACTGATCCTGCCTGTTCGCTAGCCTAGACTTGCAAAGTTCTGTTTGATATTTTCGGCCGTTTTGAGTTATTAATAGTATGAGGAAAGAAACCAAATGTTCTATCTGCTCTTTCAAAATTGTAAGATTATTCGGGGTCGTCATCACGTTATTCAAAGAATTGCATTTGAAAAAGCTTGACGAGTTGTGAAACACAAAGTAATATTTTACGTCAATAATTTCTCAAAACGATACACTGAGCAGATAGAACTTTGTAATTTTAGGGTAGTGAATGGGCACTGCCTATTAGGGACAATTTAATACCATCCACACACTCACTTGTACCCATACATATATACAAAAGCATACACACTTGAAGAGTCTAACATTACGTTATTCCTGTCAATTTACGAGAAAAAATGCGGGATAGACATTTATTTTCAATCCGAACTCACTGGTAGTGTGAAGAAAAAGGAGGGGGGGTGGTGGTGCCAGGACCAGAACTGACCTTTTGCACATTGGTTTTTAAAAAACACATCTTTTCTTATGTGAAGCACTAATTTCCAGTACCTAGGGGAAACAAATTGAAATACAGATGTTAAAACCCACAATGACACATTTCGGTTTTCTAGGTCGACCAAGCCTGTCATGGCCAACCCAGCCATAGAGAGATACAATGTCCCTGCAGATAAACGGAGATACTTCATTCAAAAGACCTCTTCATTCTAGAATCGAACTTAAGTCTTGTGCGTGAGACATCGAAGTACCTGACCGCTACACCACAAACAGAGGTCCTACAGGGGGGGGGGGGGGGGTGTACAATGTATTTGAGAAAGCCAAGCCAACTTAACGGCAAATAAAGATCTAAAATAAAATTTGAAGAGTATACATTAAGAAAGTCGCGTCCGAAAGCTGTCTACTCCCCCTGGCCTCTGAAGCTATAGGCCTACCTTTATTTCTGTAGGTCTTCATAGGCCGTTAGTTTATTTGTTTGGCAAGTGTTTTACGGCGCTCGCTACTGCATAATGTCATATTATGAGAGCACGGAACACATTAAATATTTTCAGTTTGGTAAGAATTTAAAATTTTGCCCGGGCTTCAACCGAAGCCTATTCTTATCGATTTTGGACCACCAAGGTATCTTTAAAGTGCGCAATCCGAGATTGTTCGCCTTTATTCGAGAAGGCTTTGTGTTATATCTTACCTGCAATAAGATCAGGGACGTGGCTGAAAGAGAGCATTAAAAAGGAGCCAATGATTAACAGTAGAAAGACTGCAGAAAGAGTCAGAAGCCCAGAGGATCATATACGGTCAGTCCTTGGTGAATAATGTAATTTTACAGTAACTCCCTGGCTCCGACAGCTGATTACTGCATAACTCAAATAAAAGAAATGTATTGTACCTACCTTTCTAGTCACTCGAAACCAATTAATAGTATCGGACTTCACAGCAGTATTCGCTTCCACTCCACAAACTTTTCTGAGCGCTCAGAGCGCAAAATTAAAGTCAGCAGAGACACGAACCAACTGCACGTGCTAGCAACAACGCCTAAAAAAAGAAACCAACTGAAGTTTTAATTCCTCCTTGTGTCCCGGGCGTGTGATAGGAAAGAATTCTAAGTGACAACTTCGACCTCGTCCTACTTACTCTCAACAAATGTTCGTCTTGATTAATTCTATTATCTACCCAGCCTGGTGGGCAGCTAGTGCGGTAAACAACCTGATCGATGAAATGATCGTTATCGACGAGGATGGATAGCGATAACTTTACAAGCTGGTGCAGAGCACAAGGCTGTGTGTTCATCGGTCAAGTGTAGTACGGTACTTGCTGTTTTATCGGAAACGATGTGTCGTGTAACAAACTGGTGATATTATCAGCTGGCTGGCTGTCTGTTTGTCCGTCTGTCTGCTGACGCGTAGTTTCAGCTTCATTATAACTTAGTGTCATTAGTAGCTTACTACCATCATAGTGAATACCTACAGACTAAAAGTACAGACCCCGTGCTTGCTCAGACAGAATGATAACTATCCCGGTGCTCTCTTTCTATCTCTCTTTCTCTCTCTCTCTCTCTCTCTCTCTCTCTCTCTCTCTCTCTCTCTCTCTCTCTCTCTCCTCTCTCTCTCCTTCTCTCTCTGTGTGTGTGTGTGTGTGTGTGTGTGTGTGTGTCTGTTTTTCTCTGTTACTTTTAACAACTCTAGATAGATAGATAGATAGATAGATAGATAGATAGATAGATAGATAGATAGATAGATAGATAGATAGATAGATAGATAGATAGATAGATAGATAGATAGATAGATAGATAGATAGATAGCGAACCGGTGGATGGATGGGTGGATGAGGTGATAGATAGACATGATAGAAGATTGGCTGGGAGGAGGGACGAAAAGAGGACATGAGGACAAATAGATCCGCTGCACATCAAAAGTTTTGTTTTTGTAACACGGCACTTGCAATATAAAAAGGTCATATTAGTCCCGAAGATTAGAGGTGTTACAAGAGAGTTTAGTTTTAGTAAGAGTTTTACAACATTTGCAACACAATAAGGTCATATAAGTGCTGAAGAATAGATGTGTTACAAGAAAGTAACGTAAACAAAACAGGAGAGATAAGGACGATAGATGTTTGATAGGAAACCACACCAGAGCACCCACCAACCACCTACTTACAAGAGAGTAACAAACACCAAAAAAAAAGAAGAGTTCATGACGGTGGATGTTTAATAAGGAAGGAGCAAACCACACCAGAGCACCCGCCAACCACCCACAAAGATTCAGTTTAGTTTGAGAAAAGAAAAGCAAAGCAGCACACAATGACAGTAGCAGGGAAAAAAGAAATCCTTCCGAGTGTTTCAGTGACCGTATAACACGGATAGGTCGAACACAGAAGACTCGCAATCACTCATTCCTCGAACTGTGCCTGTGGTCCCGGTTTTGTTTTTTTCTTTCTTCATCTTTGTAAGATATCCCTCGAACTACTGAGGCCGGTCCCCACAAATTTGAGCTATCCGTTTTTGTATTCGTGTTTTTCAATAGGAACGAAACTCTCTAACACCAGGTCTCTTCAATAAAAAAAATAATAAAAGTCAACAAAATAACACCAGGGTCAGTGGTGTAGGAGTAAGGCACTTCGAAATCATGTACAGCGTAAGAAACAGAGAAGGCTGGAGTTCAATTCCTGTGTGGGGAGAGGTTTGCTTTTATCGAGTATCTCCATCTGTCTGCTACTGTATGACAATGTATCCTTCTCACCCTAAGTTGACCCTGACAGGCAGGATTGAAGTTGAAGCAGCCTGCCTCCAAGAAATCCTAAACTGTGTTGAAAGGGGCGTAAAATAACTACAACTGCATCTACATTACCTCAATGTCATATCATAATAAGCATTTCACTTGGTGACACCAGTAGTGGAGTTTAAGATCAAACATTGATAAACTTTCCTGAATGTGTGCTGTGTCCAATTATGTTTTTTGCTTGAAAATCAAATAGAAATACTGCAGTCTCTTTATAATAACAACATCGTCGGGACCAGAAAAAAACGTCGTTATAATAGAGAGTTGTCGCTATAGAGAGGCAACCAAAAATATTAATGATATAAGGAAAAAATCGGGACCTGGGCACTATGTCGCTATACAGAGGATGTCGTTATATCGAAGGTCATTACAGAGAAGCAACACTGTACCCAAAAGGCTATCTTGTTCAGTTTTAGCTACAGTTTTACAGCACTTGCAACACAAACAGGTCAGTGCAGAAGATTAGAGGTGTTAGAAGGAGGAGAGATAAGAAACATAAGTTAGAGATAAGAAAGGAGCAAACCATACCAGTACCAGAGTGCCCACCAACCATCCACGAGCGATCTAAGTCAGAAAACTTCAGAATTGTTGGTCTGAAAATTTGAGTTTATATTATAAAATAATACAGTCACGGTAACCAGCACAGTGGGGTTTTTTTGTGGGGGTTTTTTTATAGTAGAGGGTTTTACGGTGCTCTACTATTTTAAAAAAACAAAAAACCAGCACTGTGTGTAAAAATTAACACAAACTGACGTCACAAGGTGAATAGTCAATGGAGATTTATTCAAGAATATAAAACAAAATGGTCTGCATCCAGAAATGCATCCCTTATACAACATGTAAATCAAGACTCATCCAAGATCTAGACTCACAAACACATTCTAACAACCACACTAAGTTAGGTTCAACAATACAACATACACACTCATTTTATGACATATAAACAGGTACTCATGAACATACCTAATAAAGTTCATACTAACATAATACAACCCTTCCATTTACTCACACAAATACACACATGATGCATTAATTTTATCATTTATTTTTGTTTCAGTAAGAGTTTTACGGTGCTTGCAAAACAATAAGGTCATTAAAATGCCGAAGATAAGAGGTTTTACAAGACAATAACAGCAAACGTTTAAAAAAATGAGGGATAAGGACAACAGATGTTTCATATATAGGAAAGAAGGAGCAAACAACACCAATACACTCGCCAACCACCCACGACTTTAACATTATATATGGGCACAACAAGCAAATATACCAATAGAATACAGAACCTTATCCTCACTAACACGAACCCTTCCTTACACAACACTGGCACTAACCCACACTCACATGTGCCCACACAAACACACACACACACACACACACACACACACACACACACACACACACACACACACACGTACACACGTACACACGCACTCACACCCACACACACCCATGCATACACATACACACACACACACACGCATACACACACACACCCACACCATGGAGACAGGACCCTCAGTCCTGCTGTATGAAAGGGTTTGCGATAGCCTCCATCCCGTCGGCCGGACAGATGAGCACCACCGAGGTACCGCGACACACCACCAGGCCAAGGTTACGGGTGTCCTCCGTCAGCTTGAATGGATCGTCCGGATCTGGGCGGAGAGACAGAGGGTAAAGGTCACTGACAACACCCCAGCAAAGTGTACCATGAACCAGGAGAGGCAGAAAGAGCACAAGGCAAAGGCCATTGAAGGAGAGGCAGAAAGAGCAGAGGAAAAAATGTTATAGAAAACACTCCACCAAAGTGTACCTTGAACAAGGAGAAGCAGAAAGAGAAGATTTATAATATGGCAAAAGTCCCTGACGAAATCCCAGCAAATTTTATTTTGAAAACCAGGTAACGAGCATTATTTTGAAGGTGAACCATTTTCTAATTCTTTATTAATTAATTAACCCCATGAAACTCAATTAACTCCTGGACCTGCTCTACCTTCATCCACCTGTGGTTCAAATCCTGACCAGTGTAAGAGTAAATCAAGCAGTCAATCCAAGGTATTTTGTTCGTTTCAGTAACAATTTTATAGTTAGATTATACAAGAGTCAAAGGTTACAGTTGTTACAACAAAGCACCAAACAAACAAAAAAGGAGGAGAGAAAACAATGATAGATAATTGATAGGAAAGAAGGAGCAAACCACACAAGAAGAGTTTAGTTTTAGAAAGAGTTTTAAGGCACTTGCAACACAAAAAGGTCATAAAAGTGCTGAAGAATAGATTACAAGCTACAAGAGAGTAACATACACAAAAAAGGAGGGGAGGTAAGGATGACAGATGTCCAATAGAAAAGAAGGAGAAAACCACACCAGAGCACCCATCAACCACCCACCACAAGAAGAGTGGGAATAAAAACCATAGTATGTGAGTGTGTGTGAACATGAGTGCACGCATGTGTTTATGTACATGCGTGTGTTTGTTCCAGCACCCGCCAACCACTCATCAATAGAACTCAGGTGCACAGCTCCAATAAGTTCAGGGAATCCTGGCTCAAAGTGATGAACAACAACCATGGACGCAGTTCAACAACAACACACATAGCAATAGAAAAAAAATGGTGACCAAAAGTCCTTATATCCACATACAATAAGGCACAGACAACTCAAACATGTCGGGGACTGACTAAAGTGTTTGACACATAAATAATAGCCATAAACCAATATACATCGTATAAAGGGAAAAAGTAATGAGACACCAGTCGGGGAATGGCAAACTGTTCAAGCTATTTTTGATTTTGAGTTTTCCGTGGTCGCATTATCTGAGACGGCTGTACTTGTTTTTGCTGAATATAACGTTAGTTGATTCTAAGTATATGGTCGCTTTTAAGTACAAGGGGGCAATCCCGAAAAATGTTGTTTTGAGAAAATCGAAGATAAAGTTTTTGGACCCCTGTTCAGTTTTTTTTTAAAGACAAGGAGATTTTTCTCTTTAACCAAACAAATATACAGAGCAATGAAATGAAACTTCTCCAACACGTAGGGAAATGCCCACTTTTGGTGCAGGTCAAGATTTCTGGAAACCCATGAAATCTGGGTAGCCCGCTTGTCCTTAAAAGCGACCATAAATGACTTCAAATGTTCTACTTGAGTTTTAGTTACTAGAGTTTTACAGTACTTGCAACACAATAAAGTCAGACTATAAGTGCAGAATATTATAGGGGTTACAAAAGAGTAACAAACACACAAACACAAAAAAAGGAGGAGGAGAAATAAGGACGATAGATGTTTGATAGGAAAGAAGGAGCAAGCCACACTACAGCATCCGCCAACCACACATGAATGTTTTACACCCTACTGACATAGTTAAGTAAAACTGTTTTTGAAGCAGGCTTCTTAGGTCCAGCCCGTCAGGACCAGCTTAGGCTGAGAGGGACGCAGCATCAAAACAGAAAAACGGAGATACTCGATAAAATATCTATCTAGACTCCCCTACTCAAATTAGTTTAGTAAGAGTTTTACGGCTCTCGCAATTATATAAAGGTCAAATAAGCATGCGAATATCCAAAGCAAAAATAGAACTTTATGCAATGCCCAAGTACCAATAGTAGTAGTAGCCATAACGGTAGAAATCGTGGTAATAAGCAGTTGCCATAATAGTATAAGTGTGCGTTGGTAGTCAAGCTGTTAGGCTACTGGACTCGTAATCGCGAGGTAGCGGTTTTGGGCTTCAGACTTCAGGCCCGACGTTGTGTTTACAGATTATGTGATGGTTCACATAAAGAAACATTGGATGGATCTATTCATGGCGTCGATTTATGTAAGAACAGTACTTTAAAACATGTATTTTCAAAACTTGTTTTCACTTATCATAGTCATAACCTCATACTGTTTAACTGCTTGACAGCAGTTTTTATTTATTCATTCTTTTTTTCCATTCAAGTTCATAGGTTGTTTTCACCCCTTATTTTTTCTTTTTCATACAAGTTCAAAATTTGCTTTTATTTACCATGATTTGTTATTTTATCACTACACTGCCTTTAAACACCATTCTGTTCGAATCTCATTAAAGATTAATGGCTTACCTAATTGGAAATATTATTCACTGGGTAAATTTTTACTTTCCCTCCCACACACAGAAGCTTCGGGGGTCAAACTGCAGTACTGTTGGCTGCAGATCACACATAAAGCTCCTAAAACTGTCGCAAATCAATTATTTTCAAGAAAATTTCAAATCTAACAGTAAAATATCAACTTATGAGTTAAAATGCAACACCCCAGATTTTCTTTTACCCAGGGGGGGGAGGCCCCCCCCCCCCCCCCCCCCCCCCAGGACCCCCCCAATTGGTCAAAAGCATGTCTATCTCTATTCAGAACAATCAGATATTTCAAAAACTGTTAATTTGCAACGGAAGTGAAGTTGATATATTCGTGTTCAGCGTATCAATATTTAGCAGAAAACGGACAACTGGTAGCTAAGTGTGAGATGGGAGGGAAAGTAAAAAAATACCCTTTACGGTTTCTATAGTGCCCTATTGTCAAAAGTCATATTCATTCATATTAATCCAATCAATAAGAGCAAGCCATACAGGCATTTAAAAGTCAGATGCAATCGTGATCATTATTTGATTTAAAACTGGGATTTTTCGTGCTTCTGTTTTGATGTGATTTTACTGTGATTTACTTGTCACTAGTTTTCATTCATGATTTTACAAATTTTACAATAACTCTATACTTTTGTAGAGAGCAAGAATAAATTGAGTTGTTATTTATATAAACGTTGTGATGCACACCCAGTATTACCAACTTTAATCAACAAAATAATCACCTACAATTTTTTGCCTCGGTGCCCTCTGATTTTTGGGTCCCACCGAGGCAATTTTTGCCTGCCCTCCTGAACACCTAATTCAAGCCCTGGAAGCAGTAATCTATGTGTAATGCGATTTCGACGTGTAGTGAGTCTTTCTGAAGCCAAACACCTAATCCCATATATATATACACATAAAAATATTGTTCCAAAAGCAAAAAACAAACCTCTGAGATATTCTGTGGTTCCATCCAATACAAGGTTCAGCAGTTGGTCAAAACCTTTCAGAATACCACTGGCTGCATCCAGGCACAAAATGAAAAAAAAGAAAAAGAAAAACGGTATAAAAAGCTGTTCAGAACAAACACCTTTGGATGAGATTACAAAAGAAATAGCAAGTATATTTTAGGTCTCCCAGTCATAATTTAAGAAAGTAAGTGTATGGGCTTACCCCCCCCCCCCCCCCCCCCCCAAGTAAGTGTATGGGCTTAACGCCCACCCCCCACCCCCCCCCTTCCCCAATCAACAATATTGGCTAATTTAATGTCATAACTTAGAGAATGGTGCATAAAATATCAATGCTTTTTTCAGTATTACAAAAAAGCACTCTCGCAATGAAAAACTGAGGAGTAGTCAAGTGAAGGTTCTTCAACACAAATTGCAGGTAATTTCTTTTATGGTATATTAAAATTATTTTTTCTTACGAGAACAGAACTGAATTTCAAAACAGAGCTTTCAACTATTTTCATAATGACCAGAGACTCTTTTTTTTTGTTTTCTGAATTTTTCCAGTATGCAGTTTACCTCGACAGACTAACTCTTAAAACAACTTCAAAGACAGTAATCTGCACACACAAACTTCTAAATCTTTCCAGATTCTGCTGTGCAAAGGAGGTAAAAAAGGAGACACAACTTGGTCAATGCAAGATCTTATAATACAAAGTAAAAAAATTACCAATAGGTGACATCCCTTGAGCCATATAAGGTGGGGTTTTTTCAGTCTTTTTATTTTATTTTGTTTGTGAGTCAGTGTGCATATATATGTGTGTGTGTGTGGGGGGGGGGGGGGGGCAGTCCATTATCATATTTGGAAGACCTTGTTTCATGCTCCTTTGCTTAAATAATTTACACAAATACAAAAAAAGAAAAAAAAAGCCAAGAATCTTCATGGCAAATCTTTATCAAATAAAAGAACAATGAAGTCTAACTCTACTTTTAAAAATTTTTTAATCTAAATTTCACTTAGAAGCCAACAAACCACAGCCATAATATGTTGCCAAGAACAAGCTAGGATTTGATAACAAACACTGAAAAGAAGTAGAAGGGGCAAACAACAAAAGAACACTCCACAAACACTTGATCACCAGCAAAAATAAATTGCATGTAATTGTTATTGTAAAGACAATCTCGTTTTAATAAAAGAGCAATGAGTTTAGAGAAGATGTGAGGAAGGCAGTCTTTATCTCAAGAAAAAAGGGAAATAAAAGATGTCAAAAGATGAGGAGGAAAAGTGAGCTGGACAAAAAGCACTTAATTACCAACCTTCTCGGCCACCACTGAACTTGACGCGAATTGGCTTGTCCAAGTATTTGTTCAAATCTAAAATACTTTCCTTCTTTTTTTTCTCTCGCTCTTTTTCCACCTCATTCTTTCTATCTCCACCAGCTTGCATCTGTCAAAAACAAAAAGCGGAGCATTGATGGGCATAGAACATTAACTCCCTTCACAAGTGAAGTTTACTGGCATCAAAGTCTGCAAAGTTTATTCAGACTTATTGGATTCAGATTAATAAAAATCTATGTTAGAGAAAGATTCAACCCTCAGATTTCCCTGATAGTTCTTTAGTAATTCTATCATTTTACTGACATCCTACTTAAAGATTCACCAGAAACGTCCTTAGATTATTTATTTTTAAACATCTATATCATGAACTAGATCTACCATGTGTGACTACAGTTGGTTTCATAGGGTGTGCAGCCATGTTTGTTTAGTGTGACAGCACCTCTTCCAAAAGTACCACTGCCTCTCAATATTCATGAACATAGGGGTAGTGAATGTAAATCTGAAAAAAAAACGTCTGAAAATTCAGCAGCACCCGAGGACAATCCTGATGAATTTAAAGTAAAAAAATGATAGCTAAGGAAATAAAAATAAGTACAGAGAAACTAGATCTAGAGATCTCTAATCTGATCAGACATAAATTTATACACTCAGGGGTTAAAATTTAACTTACAAGTGAATGCAGAGATGCAATGCTTTTGGGGGCTACACTTGAACTGTATTGTACACAGATCTATGGCCATTAAAACCACAGCAAATTAACCTTATCTGTACGTCATGTTTTACTATTGGTATCTGAACGATGTGGGGAACTCTGTGCCACCACTTTCCAAACAGGAAATTTACTTGTTAATCCAAAGCATAGCCGTCTGTCAAAATGATTTTTTGAGAAATACTGAGTTTCAAAGAGATCTTTGCACTAGAGATCTAGATATCTAGATCTAGAAGTACATTCTAAAATGTGAAGAATACAACTCTGGGGGTACAAAATGACCCAAGGCCAAGGGCCGGTGCTTTTTCGGTAGTTCCCACCCCCCTTATTTGAGCCTGACCTAGATCTACTTCTAGATTCTAGATCTAGAAATCTAGATCTTACGTTTGATTCGCGGCGAGCTAAGATATCAAACCTAACAACAGTAACAGCAAAACACATTAAATTGTGGTAAAATTCAGGGGGGGCATGCCCCCCTGAAACCCCCCTTCCTATTTTTGTTAGGTCAGGGGGGCAAGCCCCCCTGAAACCCCCCTACTCTTGGGGCCAAAACCCGTAAATAACAATTGCGGGGTGGGAACTACCGAAAAAGCGCCCAAGGGCCTACAGCCTACACGGCCTAAGGATGATTGATAGGGTGTAGTACACACAAAAAATCTCAGACCTAGATCTAGATCTATTTAGCCTAAATCTTGGTCCAGATCTACATAGAGATCAAGATTCTAGATCTAGATTCTAGACCTAGAAGATCAAGATCTACGGTTCACAGGTCAAGATTCAAGAAGTCTCGACTCAAGACTATCGAAATAGGGTTCTTTCATTCCTGACAACTTCGCTGGCTTCAGATTTCCTCACAATATATCGTTGTAATTTGGGTAAACTAAATCTTGAATCTAGATCCTAGATTCTACGGATACACCGATAATAAACATCACCTGCTGTTGTGACATTTCTTGAGCTTCTGTGAGGATAGTCTGCTACCGTTTAGTAACAAATTCGAAGATAGTAGCAGAGTCTAGTACTGAAGGCCTAGATTCTAGTCACTCGTCACTTTTACAAACGGCGCGGAAGCACCCGACAGTCGACACAGTCAACAATACGATTTGTTTCGTTAACTTCTTACTTCATACTTCATGACATTATGGCCCAAAGTAATATGGTACATTTCACGAGCTTCGCCGATCTGTTGTCATTTTTTAGAAAAAGCGGAGATGCTTTATGATCATTTCGAATTGTTTTTTCATTTTTTATCAGCAGCCAGGAGAACAATTACCACAAGGCAAATACGGAGAATTAACTAGAGCCCTAAGATTTCACTGGACCCCTAAAAGCCTCATTTAAACCAAAAACATTTTTTTATCGTGTTTCATTTTTTTTTAATTTCTCGTATAGATCTATTAGTTTAGGTAGAAGTTTACGGCGCTCGCAACTGCATAAGGTCATATGAGCGCAAAGGGGTGGATGTCAACAGAGAAGTCTTTACTTGAAATCAAACTTACTCTGCTCACCTCTCTAGCTTCAACAGCACAAAGTCTGCTTCGACTATCAGGCACCCCGGAAATAGCCTAATTGTGCGTCACAAGAGTGTGACAAACATACAGAAGAAGTAGAGGGAAATGACTATTGTAGGGATTAGGAAAGAAAAAGCAGCTGTTCCCTGTTGTAGATCACGCACAGTTATGAGCGTGACATTGATGAATCAGCCCATTTATAATTCTACTGTGAATGAATGAGAAATGTCCCCCGTTTGGGAATGGCCTAGACACTTCAGTCAGTGGCACCGCCCCCGGGGGGAGGGGGGGGGGGGGGGGGGTTGATTTTCAGTTAATTCATATCGTTTTAAAAAAAGAAAAAGAAAAAAAGAGTGTAAGACCAAAAAAATTATCTGATTAATATATTTGTTTTTTTGCTTAATAACGCAAGAAAACTATAAGGAGAGAAGGTGAAGATTTTAAAAAGAGAGTAAGACAATAAGCAGAAGAAAAGGAAGAGAAAGAAAAACAGAAAAGGAGGAAGAAATACAAAGTCATATTACGATAGCCTAGTACTGTTTGTTTTTTGTTGTTGTTGTTTTGTTGTTGCTTCTTTTTTTCTTCTTTTTTTTTGGGGGGGGGGGGTTCATCTCATAATGGATTTCATGGTGTTGTGTGTGGCGTCTTCCTTTTTTCAGTCGCACAACACAAAACAACCTTCGGGCTGAACTTGCTTGCTGCTGCTACTCGATACTATCGTGTGTAGTGGTGAAATCTCGAGTAGGCTCACCAGAGAGTTTACAGTGACATACTAAACCTACTGTAAAAGTCTCTGGACCTACATATGACATTTTAAAAAATAAATTATCAGCACAGTATGGGAATCAAGAGCTGGTGAAGGGCCTCATTTAAAAGATGAAAAACACTCAATCGTTTCAAATAGCTTCTCCCAGTCTAGCCAACTGCACCTACTCGTGGTGATCCCTGTTTGTACTGACCTGGCTTTGGTGAATGGCGAATCGTTGGCGCAAACAAACCAAACCCCTTTGCAAGGAAGGGTAAAAACAACAGGCTGGGGAGTAGGTGTGACGGAGGATACCGGAACTAAAATTTTGGTAGCTTCGGTGTGACCCCACAAGGTGTGGAGGGCAGAACCCACCGGCGCGTGGTAGACGCTATGCCCCCCACCAACACACTCTCACTCTCCATTGAGTGAGTGTCCCCATCTACTAACCTCACCAACTTCTTCTACACACTCCCTGTGGTTGACTTGGGCTCTACCTCCGGTCAGGTGCATCTATGGATCTTTCTGGTCCCTTCAAGGATGAACACACCCCTGGATGGGATAGGCCTCGGGGACATTGCATGCCCAAACATGGACGTCTACGTACCGACACAAGGGATTTTGGCCCAACAACGCTGCCAGAGTCAGACCACGTTAAATTGACCCTTCACAGCTCGCCAGGAGACAGCGGTGGCGGGGAATGGACCACAGTGGATCGTGCCTCGACCACGTCATGTAAAAAGGAAGCAAGTCCCTGCTTAGCGCGTTGCCCCACTTCTGTGAAATACAAAACATGTAGCTCTGGAATCTCAATGCCAGATGTATCGGACTTCTGGTAGACCACAGTCCTGGGTGGGAAGGCTCCCCAGCAAATACGGCAAAGAAATCAGCATAGTGCCGGTACTCAGAAGTGGAAAGCTTTCCTTGACTGGTTTTGCCGTTGGCCCTCAACTGAATTATTATTATCATTATTATCATCACCATTGTTATTATTATTAGTATTATTATTATTATTATTATTATTATTATTATTATGATTATTATTATGATTATGATTATTATTATTATTATTATTATTATTATTATTATTATTATTATTATTATTATCATTATTATTATCATTGTTGTTGTTATTGTTATTATTATTATTATTATATTATTATTAATATTATTATTATTATTATTATTATTATTATTATTATTATTATTATTATTATTATTACCATTATTATTGTTATTATTATTATTATTATTATTATTATTATTATTATTATTATTATTATAAATTATTATTACATGTATTATTATAACCTTTGTATGTAGACGTAGCTATGCGTGTGCGCATGTGTGTGTTATGTGAGGGGGGGGGGGCAGTTTGTCGTTTGTCATTATGATTACTTTTCTTCTCTTCTATTTTTTTTTAATTTGGGGGGGGGGGGGTAACTTAACGGATGATGATGATGAACAGGGGCGGCTCGTGAGTCTTAAAAGTGGGCGTGCACAATTAGGTTAAAGCAGGTTGAAGACAGTCAAGGGCATGTAAATTAGATGTTTTCTTCATCCTACCTGTTTTGAGAAAATCTATTTGAAGAAGAAATCTACCCTTCGTTCTTTCGCTGCAGCAAAAGTGTCCATTATTCTGTTGACGAAGTTGGGAATGCTGTCAATGATGTCCTTGCGGATCAACATAAACGTCAGTGCGATTTCTAGGATTTTGCATACTTCTCTAAATGTTGTGTCTAGTTTGTAGTCCTTCAGAGTTGAATAAAGGCCCTAGATTGTACGATTAAATATTTCATTGCAATGTAATACTTATAATTCTGTTTGTAACTTGATTTTAAGCAAACATTAATTTTTCTGTAAAAAATTTGGTAGTCTTGGAATTTGGAGGAGACAAAATTGATAGTGCGTTGAATTTATTTTGCTTCAAGAAACTGTCAACAATTTGAGAAACTATCATTATGTCACAGGCCTGCTTTGCAGCAATTTCGTTGGTTTTGTATAGTCTGCGTCTCTTGGAAGCGTGATTTCTGAGGTCTGTTTTGTTGATAGAACATGTATACTGTTTGTACTTTCATCGACGGCTACTTTAAACTTGTTTGGTTGCTATGGGCGTTGTACTTCTGTGTTAGAAGATCCCCAAAAACAGCGTCAACATGCGTGAACACTATGTTGAAAAAGCGCAAAAAGAAGAGAAATGTTTCTTTAATGCATTCAGGATACCAGCGTGGATGGAATTATCGTCCCACTGCTCAGACTAGATTTCTGCAAGACAAAGCTGGATCTCTCCTTTCCAAATGAAGACTGTGCTAATTAGTTGAGACTGTAAATTCCACTTTGTTTCAGACGGCCATGGAATATTCCGGTGACAAACGCGTCTGAGAATGCCGAAGCATTAATTTTGTAGAGTGGGCGAAAAATGTAAAGTCTTTCCTGCATAGCGTTAGCGAAAAATACCTCTGTTCCCCGACAAATCTCCCCTTTCACGACCGCCAAGGGCGAGTTCGTGAGTTTCAGAGAGCAAAATGCACCCAATAACCTTACACAATACGTGCCTGTTCTTTCTCACTAGATCTAGATCTAGTTCGTTATGAGTACAATGAGTATTTGCTAAAGCTGACTGTAAGCCTCTCCACTTTTTGTTGGTTGTATTATTTTGATATCTTTGGGTTGGTGAGGGCCTAATTCTTTCACTCTCTTCTTGTTACTTCGTTAGGTGAACTGATTTTATTTGCAATCAACTTCATTCATCCTGCATTGGAATACACACTCGAGTAATAAAAATTTCACCACTACACCATTCCAACTTCTAACCCAGTGACCTAATTACGTCATGTAGACCTCGCTCAAGTTCAGGGTTACAGAGGTGGGACTAGAGATATAAATGGCAAGACAATGGACCAATCGCACTTCAGTGTGTGCACTCCGGTGGATTGCTCCAAAGCAAACATAATACGTGCATTGAATTGTGTAGGCTATCGTGAACTGGTCTGAGATCGTGCTATTTTTAGACTGCCTCTATGGGCTTTGTTCGGCTGATGCACACTGAGATTGTGCCGCCTTATTAATATTTATGAACTAAGAAACTCGGTCAAAACGTCATCGTTGTTTGGGTCGGCCCATAGAGCATTTTCCGAGATAGATTACACCACTGAACATGCTATATTTTTAATAGAGTGAAGCACAAGAACTTGATATATGGTATAGTCGATGTTGTAGAGTTGTAGATGTTGTAAAGAACGAATAAGCTCTGGCGAGGACCATGTACAAGGAACTGACTGGTTGGTGGAAGGTAAAGGTTCTTTCATTATCTCTTTGTGGGTGTTGTGCGCATTAAAAAATTTGGGCGGCAGTGCACGACCGTGCTCTATGGACGAGCCGCCCCTGAGATGAAATCTTCTAGGCGACGTCCAGAGGCGTGCAAAAGTAGCTCTACTCTAAAAGAACTACACTGGCTGCTAGTAAAACAAAGGATCAAATACAAAAGTGCTGGGGGTGGGGGTTGGTCTAACTAATGGCATTGTGCCTATATATCTGAAACACTTCCTAGAATTATATCATCCACACAGAGCACTTAGATCAGCCACTGAAGAACTGATTCTTAGAATCCCAAAACAAAATTTCGGGACATACGGACAATGTTCCTATTCCTAATTTGGTCCCCTTTCATAGAAAGAACTCACATATAAAATAAGGAGTACCTCTAATATTTACATTTTCTTTTTTAAAAAAACAACTGCAGCATTGCTTATTTACAAACGCATTCTTGTCATAGCGATGAACTGTTTCTTTTTCTGGTACATGCATGTGTGCATGCCTGACG